ATTACCCAAGTCAAAGAAAAAACTTGGTTGATGTTGAAGGTCATAGTGTTATAAATTGGAAATGTTTAGAAAGGTGAGAGAAATGCAGGAGTTGTTTTTGTCATAGTTTACACATTTAGCTCACAAAATGATTTGAAAATCAAAGGTTAATGAAATGACTTTAATCATAATTCAGTGATAATGCATTAAGTGTGAGTCAGTCAATACTATTGGTAAGCAGGCTCTTACCACTTGCCAATCACTGGCAAAGTCATGCTAATGACTTTCAGTGACTCTTTCTAAGGGGTGAAGTAGAAGAATTCACAGGATTTGAGATGCTTGGGCCTCAGGGGTCATTTGATTAACACCGTGATTTTCAGAGAGGAAAATTGGGCCCAAAAGTTGTGGGACTTCTACCTGGAGAGCTGGTCCATATTGCCCTGCAATCACCAAAGGCAGGGTCTCTGTGTGTTCTGTGACTGTCCCCAACTTGAATGTTACTCATATGTAATATCCTTTTATGCAGTCATTTAAGATTTGTCCATCCGGAAAGGACAAACTGAAGAACAATGTGAAGGGAACCTTAGAAGACTTTATCTCAGTCCTTTCCCAACTTCCCTTTGTGTCTCGGTCTTACAGCTGACGTGAATTTGCTCTTGCTTTCTCACTTAGGAAAAAAATCTATTCATCTGTTTAATGTGCATAGAGTTGCTGAGAAATAAAGTACTCTGCTCAATGTTTAAGACTGTGTTCATAACTTTCACTGTTTTTAGCTGTTTTCCTTTCACCCCCTACTAGATTCCTAAAGACTCAGCTTTCACCTTTTGGTTAAGGATACTGGGTTTGCCTTAAGTTAAAGCTTTAATGGAATTAGTCACTGTTTTATGACCAAGCTGCTTTCCCACATAACCTTAAGAGACATGCCAAAGGAAGAGTTCTGATGTAAGCCCCCCACCCCCAATTTCTCTCAACAATGTAGTGAAATAACAGTACTGGAACCTCCCTGATCTACCTTTTCACAGAAAACACATATTCACCTAAGTCTTATGACTCAATACAGCAGTTGTTTTTTTTTTTGAGAGTATTGTTTAAGAGTAGTTTTGAGAGTTTACCAAATGGTCTACACTTATATTTTCCTGTAAAGAACAATCTTGATGTAACAATCTCCTTGCTCTGGTTATGAGAGTTCATTCTATAAGTCAATGGGTGACATAAAGCACCATGCTGTCCTTGAAGGTTGACTAATGTTCTTGAATTTTAAGCAGATGTTGCAGGTACTGCATCTTATTCGGGGAGCTGCTGTATAATATCATCACCTGGTCCTCCAAAAGCTGACACTCATTTGTGTTGAAGTCAGTGTTCGAGGACTACAGTAAAAACCCTAGTGTGAATGCAAACATCTTAGGTCATCTCAACTCTTCAGAAGTGAATATTTTAAACATTTGTCAGGTGTAGGATAACAAGGATAATGAAAATGTTCAGTTATCCCAAGTTTTTATAGTCCCTCACTGCAGAAACAATTCTAATTCCCTGCTCTCCTTAGATTTGGAAGCATGTGATAAACCAATTTGTGTTTAAACCAATACTACAAAGATCAGCCAAGGAACCACTTTCCATCACACTTTAACTTGCCAGACCTCCTGATTCTGCATCCCAGACATCCTGTGTTCTCACATCTTTCCTAAGTCCCAAGGTCCTAGTGGCTTTCTTGCCTTCTTTAGTCAGTTCACTTTGATGGATTATTGCCATCAGGATGTCTTTTTACATCTTTTAAGAAACCTCACAAGCACATAAGTGAGAGCGCAAGTATCAATGACTAGATCTCACACTGTATGAAGTCTTAGGAAGATTTTTTTTTTTTTTTATCTCAAGTTTATGCTACAGTTAGGAAAATAAAGACAGTGTTAAGGGGCAAGGCCTAATCATGAGAGGGAGGAGCCTTCCTGGGCTATCTTATTTCAGCCTAAACGTAAAGGATCTGTAGTACTGGCCAGAAGAGGCTTGGGAGTCTAGAGGAAGCCAAAGGCACAGGGCAGAAATGAAGTGGGAGTGGCAAAAGGGCCAAATAGGGCATTCCTAAGTAAAGATTAAGTCTTGAGACAGAGAATAGTGGATTTTAACTTGAGTTGTAGGGCTTGCAGTTTGTGATGTTTTCCAGTCACCAAATCTTCCTAGAATAGAGTAGGGGAAAGTATAGATATTCCTCAAGCCCAGCTGAATCAAGTCTTCCATTTCTTCACCCGACTCTGTGCTTCAACCTATTTTCCAGCCTCTGTCCCCCTTTAAGCAAGAGTTCTCCCTAGTGTCACCAGTCACTTTCACTTGCCAGATCTGTGGGTCCAGGTTCATCCTTCTGCTATTGGTTTTAGCTATGTGTGGCCCTGCATAATGCTTATCTTCCTGTTGCCATCTTTTTCCAGCACCCAGAAGCACAGCCAGAGAGGAACAAAAGAAGCAAGTGCTTCTTCCAAATCTTTTAAATAGGGTGCTCTCTGACTAATACTTAAGGGAATATATTATTTGTCAGAAAATCAAGCCATGTGAAAGCAAAACAATAAAACAGACACAGCAATTTACCTAACAGTGGTACGGTGTGTTTAACGTGAGCTTTTTCCTGTAATCCTTAAACAACTACAACCCCCAAAGCATTAATTTACATGTCTAGGGCCGTGTGGTCTTCCATTCATCAATCACCTCAGATTACATTTTTCAGATTCAGGCAAAACTACTTGCCAACTTAATCAGGATATCCCAAAGACATCACAATCTCTAGAAAATCCTTATCCAAACTGGTCTCCTACCTACATAAGCAAAGGGCACCTCCCTCCATCTAGTTGCCAAAGCCAAAAAATTCTGAATCACCCCCGATTTCCACACAAACTCAGCCATTCATTTACCACTTCCTATTAGCCATACTTAAAATATTCAGATTCCATCCACTCTGCTCCACCCGCTTAACCACTCTTAAAACAATTATTTTCTTATGTAACCAACTTCCAGTCATACTCCTTGAATCACTCTGAGGCAAGCAGATCTGATTTGGTCCCCTCACTTCCTTGCATAAAAGCCACCAAGGTTCTTGAGGAATTCACTCTCCTTTCCTGTCAACCTTCTCTCTCCAGTTCCCTTTCATGCTCCATTTTTAGCCCAGTTTCCATCCTCTTGTCTCCAGGCCTGTGCATATCCTGGTTCCCTGTATAGGCTCATTTTATCAGCTAAAGAGTCTTGAGCCTTCAGGGCTCAGAAAAGATGGTTCCATGTGAGGTGGTCCTAAACCAATATTTTATCATTCTGTTACCGTGACGAAATACCTGACAACTTTTTAAACTTTTTAAAAGGAAGGGGTAATTTTGGCTTACAGTTTCAGAACTTCATTGTGTGGCCTTGTTGCTTGGGCCTATGGTTGCACAGTCCACTGTGGGAGGAGGGTATGTGGTAGAGCTATTCACCTCATGGCAACCAGGAAGGAGAGAGAAGCAACTGGAGGAGACCACTGGCTTCCAATAATCCCTCTGAGGGCATGGCTCCTAAAAACCTAACTTCCTACCTCTTAAATGTTTTACCACCTTCTAACAGTGCCACAGAGGTTGGTGACCAAGACATGGTAATCATAGGTCTTTGGGGGAAATCAAGACCCAAAACATAGCAACTAGTACAATGCATTTCCTCATAGAATTTTAAATACCTGTCTACTTTTCTGCATTCTTCATAAGATTATAAGCTCTGCTGAGGGGAGACAGTATAAATAGATTTTTTAGTAAAAAGATTTTAAAAAGAACCTTTTCTGATTACAAACCTCTAAAAAAACATATTTAAAGCTACTTAAAAGGAAAGCAAAAGATTCTATTAATGACATACACTAATCCTTCTTATTGTACAGGTCATTTTTTTCTAAGACTTCTGGGTTCTGAAATTTCAGGCTCCCTGTTATTTTTGGTTAAAGCCTGTGTTACCACTCTGAGAAAGAGACAAGACTACTTCATTAGCTAAGGAATCAGGAACATCTTTACCCTAAAACTACTTCCTTTCTGGTAGGCAAGTTCAGTGAGGATAGCTGCTTAAAAGTATTTCCAGGAAAAAGCTTTAATATTATGATTTTAAGGAAAGTGTCAAGGGATTGGGGATACAGCACACCAGTAAACACTTGTCTATAGCATGCATGAGGTTAGGTTCTGGGTTTGATCCTTACTTAGCAAATGCGCACACACACACAAAAGTGTCATATTGAAATTAAGATATTTAATGGGCTGGGGTTGTAGCTCAGTGGTAGAGTGCTTGCCTCACGTGTGTGAGGCCCTGGGTTTGATTCTCAGTACCACATAAAAAATAAATGAATAAAAATATTGTGTCTAACTAAAAAGAATATTAAAAAAAAAAGATATTTAAAGCTCAGAACCTCTACCATAAAACAAGTGAACTGTTGCTAGGTGTAGGCTGAACTGCAAAAACTAATTTAAACCACAGTGTAATTCATTCTATTAATAGTATTTCCCCCTAAAAAGGAAGGCCCCAAAGACCTGGACAACTGCCATGGTAAACACCAGAGCAGAGACAGGAAGAGAAATGGGCAGTAAAGGAAGGGTAGGGCCTCTGGCACCCAGCACTTGTTGGAACAGGTGGACTGAAGTCAACTTCTCAAAGCCGAAGTATATTGAACAGAACCCCACTTGAATATGTATATATAAAGTAAATGAAAAGGAACATGCCACATTTAAATCTAGACCTAAAATTTAACAATCTATATATTTCTACCTTGCTACCATTTAAATGTCACCAGCAAGCAATGTATACTCTTTTAAGTGTCCCATGTAAGTTAATAGGATTTCTTTTAAATATTTGTATTCTTATATCTATGTCACGAAACACAAACTCACAATTTCCATGTTATTTAGCCTCCTTTTGTATCTTAGAGATTAAAAAAACACTACTTTTGGATAATTTGTTTTTCAACTGCAAAAACTGTAAAGAGCAAACACCTTCAGTTATCAACATATATCAACAAAGTGGTACTGGTTTTCATCTCCAATGATGCACTGTTTTTTTGTCAAGAAATTTATTATCCTTTACAAACACTATTTTCACTCAGTCATTCATAAAAAATGATTTATGATTAAATCTGTAATAAAACCATATAACGTTCATCAATGCATTCAATAAGACCAGTTTCATCCATGGAACATAATAAACCACTTTAAAACAGCAGTTTTCATTTACATCATGTAAGGCTGTCAAACTAAAAAGTATTCCTTATAATGGGCTGTTATCCAAGAAATCCATTTCACTTTACGTTATGTGGTAAAACTGATGGATATATCCTCTGAGAGTAGAATCTGAAAGTAGATTCTATCACCTTTTCAGTCTCAAACAAGTTTCACAACAGGAAAATATTTGTGAACAGAGAAATCAAATTCAGGAGGAACCTGTAAAAGAAAACACAGAAAGTCAATTGCTGCTTTTACTAGTATTTAAGCTTTGAACAGAACAAACATTATTTTTAGTTTCTTGCATTTTTTAAAATGAGGCAGCACAAAAGAGATAAAAAATTGGTTTTAGTGATAAGTCAGGAATTAACCTGGAGGAATAAATTATTTGTTTCTGGGTTAATAAAGGTCATCACAAAACATACTGACCAGCTGTTTTCTATCTTCCAAAAAAGATTAAAAGGAAAATGGATTTAAATTACCAAAAGAAACTCAAATTAGACCAGGGAATAAAATTATTTTTACTTTCAGGGTTGCTGATGGTACTAACTAATAAAATGAGAGTCATTAGTAAAGCAGAGCTAGAGAAAAGAAAGACAGATAATAGAAAAATGATGAGAATAAATGAAGTGAAACACAAATGCCACCAAAAGCGCTATGGCCTTGGCCTCTTATGCAGAACTAATGCTAACAGGCTGAAGTGACACTAATGATATAACTGCATTACCAAGGGAAGCCTAGACTCATATCTTCTGAGGTTTTAGAATGAAGTTTTTCAGTTATTGAAACATTCACCTTCCTAAAAGTGGATGACTTTTAAGTACTTGGTACTGTATCTTTGTTTTTACCCGCTTTCTTTTTTATCCCAAGTTATTCAGTAATTTATATGAATGGGAGAAAGAAAGCAGACTCAAAATTTTTAGTCACAAAACATGTCAAAAAATGCCTATAATCTCAGCAACTCAGGAGACTGAGGCAGGAGATCACCATCAAGTTCAAGGCCACCCTCAGCAACTTAGTAACATCCTATGCCTCAAGAAAGTGGGGGACGGGGTGCTGGGGATGTGGCTAAGTAGTTAAGTGTGCCTGGGTTCAATCCCTAGTACCAAAAATTAAAAAGGCAAGCTTTAGTTAATTTACATTTTGCTGATAAAAATCTTTTAGGATGACTTTTGTTCATTTTGTCTACGATTTTTTTTGTAATATTTTTTGAAATTTCACAATAATTTTCTCCACAATGTACTTACCTTTGACTCCTTTTTGTGTCCTCCTGCCAACAACTTCATAACCACAAAATTAGGTTTTGCAACCTTTAAAATTCTACTGACCTAAAACAAGAACAAAACAAAATTCATAGTCAAAAGCTTGTCACAGACACGAATAAGAATTTGGCACAAAGAAAGTGTTGAAATTTTATTAAATAAAGGCATTTTTAGAACTCCATTTCAGACAATTCTGAAACCGTGGAAAGGCTGCTGCATCCGCAGCCCTCGAGGGAGCATGAACTGTAGATGAACTGTAGAGTATGGGGGTATGTTTTCAAATCCCAGTTGTGGCATTAAAAAGCTCTGAGCCTTCTGGCAAATTTTCTAATCTCTCTGTTCCTTAGTTTCTTCATCTGTAAAAATGGAGATAACTTTACCTGTTTCACAAAGATTTGTTGTGAGGATTAAGTGAGTTAACATATACTGTCATGTGCTTCATAATGATGTTTTGGGCACCAGAATGTTGTTTTGCAATGACATATGTGATGGTGGTCCCTTAAGACATCACCTAGAGCCAAACTGCTTTGTCTTAAATATGCTATGATGTCCACACAACATCATCTAACAAAGCATTTTCAGCACATCTTCCTTCATTAAGTGACACATTAGTGTACAAGAGATCAGAATATGCCTGGCAAGAAGCTGAGTGTCCTTTGAGTACTAACTGTTACTTCTTTTTCTTTCACATATATATATATATATATATATATATATATATATATATAGTTGTAGTTGGCCAAAATATCTTTATTTTATTTATTTATTTGATGTGGTGCTGAGGACGGAACCCAGGGCCTTGCACGGAACCCAGGGCCTCGAATGTGCTGGGCAAACGCTCTACTGCTGAGCCACAACTCAGCCTCCTAACTGTTATTTCTGATCAACACTTGTTTAAATGCTTCATTTGAACACAATAGTGAAATAAAATTCTGGATTTCTCTCAAGAGAATAATCCACAAAGTTCCCATTGCTGCTTTTTCCCAGACTTCTCAATAGAAATATACATTACTACAAGTTCAGCATCACCTCCCCCTCAACTCATCAGATATCCACACCTGCTTAGCTGATAGTTCCAAGTCTAATGGGTAGCTCAAATTTAACATGTCCCAAACTCCGCCCCTGCCAGGCCTCCTGCCAGTCTTGCCCCCATTAATCAATGAATCCAGTTGCTCAGGTCAAAATCCTTGAAGTTATCCTTGATTTCTTTTTCTCTCACATCTTACATCTAACCTACCAGGCAATCCAGAAAACTTGCTCTTAAAATATAAGGAGAAGGCAATCATGTTTGGTAACCTGTACTGTTATCACCAGCTTTTCCCAGCACTAATCCTATGGTCTGCTCCTTGACTGGGTCCCCAGATTCTACCTTTTGCCCTGCAACAGACTAGTCTATATCACAAGTCAGATCTGACTGCTCCTCTACTCAAAACCCTCCAGTAAGTAGCTCATGCCTATGTTTCCCACCCCCACTCCAGGAATACAACTCCTTAACTGCTGTTAAAATATCCTGGGCATTAATTGCCCTGTGTCTTTCTGCATGTAGATTCCAGCACCTGCCCCCACCTACCCATAAGGGCTAGAATTTCTCTCTGTATTTTCTGGTGAGGACAACAAGTGGTCAATAAATCTTTATTAAGTGAATGAAATTCCTACTGAATGCAATATGCCATCTACTACAGGCATGTCTCGGAAATTTTTATATTACCACTTATTTTCCTTTATTAGATGGAATTTGATTTTTTTTCAAAGTTTCTCTCAGCCAAGTGCAGTGGTGGCACATACCTATGATTCCAGAAATTTGGGAGGCTGAGGCAGGAGGATCATTAGTTTGAGGCCAGCCCCAGCAAGTTAGTGAGAGACTGTCTCAATATAAAAGATAAAAAGGCTAAGACTATAGATGTAGCTCAGTGATAAAGTTCTCCTGAGTTTCATCCCTAGCACCCCTCCTCACAACAAAAATCTCTCTCCTGTCTCATTTTTCTGGCACTGGGGATTGAATTCAGGGCCTACTTGCACATGTAAGAAAAATGCTTTACCAATGAGCTATATCCTAGCCCATCTCTCATTCAAGGCAATCAGCTCTCTTAAGTCAAACACATTATCAATAATTATCTTTCGAAAGATATTATACACTAGCATAAGAAAATACTTACATACATAGTTTTCACCCCCTTTTGATAGAAATGGCAGTATACAATATACTGTCCTGCACCTTTCTAAACATTACATTCTGAAGAACACTCCATTATAGCACATAAAGATCTTTCTTATCCTTCTTAAAGCTGTCTAATATTCCAATAAATAGATATGTCATTATTTATCAGACTCCTGGCTGATGAATGCTAAAGTTTCTTCCATTGTTTTTGCTTTTAGAAATACGCTGCTACAGCAAATACTCTTACATTCATCACTCACTCCCTCAGTTCTTGTTTGTGCACATATGTACTTGTACCCATTAAAGGAAACTCTTACAGAGTAAATGTATCTCAATAAAGTTAGGAATATAGCAAATTACTAAAATATCAGAAACCTGAAACTTTATATTGTATTTATTTTCAAAGTTTATTCTGATAGCTTAAAATAAAGTCTTTAAAAGTAATAGTTGTTAAATGGTCAGGTTAAATAATGTTCCTGTGATAAATGGCCACATCATTTTTCATATTTAAGACTTAAGGTTAGGCTGGCAAAGCTATTTGAAATCCTTGGCAAAAAAATTACAGTCTGTGTGATATAACCATGTTCACACGGTAGTAAGATATGTTATTTCCTACAAGCTTACCCCCCTAGAATCTAGTCTTACCTCATGGTCTGGGTTGGGGATATTTTCCAAAATCATTTTTGCCTGCTGAAAGTGCTTACTAGCTGCCACATACAGTTCTGGCGACTGAGGAGGAGGGCTATATTTATTGAGGTCAGACATTTCCTAAAAAGAAGGGGGAATATTAATCAAAGTATATTTAATGTAAAGTATCATTTTAAACTATTATGGAATTCTACATTGAGTATCCATTCATACAAAAATACTGAGGCAAATATACAACACATTTCCTGTTATTTTTCCCTAGGTAATTTATTTTTCAACCTCAATATACTATCATATATTATTTCATAATTTAATTAACTGGTAATGTGATTCACATATTCAAGAAAACCAAATAATTTTCACACTATTTAAAACTGCTCTTTTCTTATCTGTCCCAATGATACAGTGTTTGATTACCTAATTTAAAACAAGCTGGTTAAGTATGAACAGTACATCTCTAAGAAAGTCTAAGATTAGACTGCATAAAGATTTCACCAAGTAGGTTCACCTTGAACTGTAGGTAGTGCACTGGTGGCGGGGTCATCACACTGTTGAATGGAGCAAACCTGTGCTCATATCGAACTTGTTCACTATCAAGTTCGAACTTGGGTTTGCGTACTTTACCATCCATGTCAAATGCTACCATGGTCTGAAGAAAAGAAAATGAGAAAAGGAAAGCAATATGAAAAAGTAAACATCTTCAATAATACTGTAAACAAATGGTGGTCTATATACATTTGAAAAGATTCATGGCTCAGAAGTCAAACAGGAAGAGGAAAAACTGACTTATTATTCACTCTTATTTTATGTTCCACGCAATGGAATGCAAGCGTGTTTTACCACTGAACTGCATCTTCAGCCTGGTTTTTATTTTGAAACAGGGTCTCAGGGACTCGCTAAATTGCTGAAGCTGACAAGTTTGAGGCTTCAGTGTCTAGAGTTGCTGGGATTATAGGTGTGTATCACTGAACCTGGTTCTGCTTTATGCATTTTAGTTGCTTCAAATCATTTCTGGAGTTGCCAAAAACAACTTAAAAAGTTTGACTCACTGTCTCCTGAAAAATTCCTGCTTTTGCTTATGCCATTCATTGTTCCTAACATACTAACACACTCCTAAAAAATTCCCAAATCCATCACATCCATGAAAGTTTTCCTGTTTATGAGAAGTAAGCTCTTCTTTCTTGTACTACCTGTTTTACACATATGTCAATTGGACTGTCAGGTATTAACTTGGCCATGGATGAAACAAAGACCAATATACTCAGTTTTACAAAATGTCTGACAGCAGGGTTCGAATGCTTCTTGAAAACAACTAGACTTGAAAAAGAATAACCTTTAAGCAAAGGGGTAAAGTAAAATAAAAGTCAAACTAGAACCTGGAAAGAATCATGAAAAGAGTTCATTTTAAATAGACTGTATAACAGCAATATACTTCAACAACTTACTTTAAACATTCCAGCACACATGTTCTGATATGCCTGGCTCATTGTGATCTCTCGGCTCAATGGACGAACTGTAATTATAGAGAAAATAAAAAATCTTCTATATTCCTTTCCTCTCTTCCTCTTATGTTATTGTAGGAGAAAATTTAATTTTAAAAGATTTTCCAGCTTGTTTATTAAATTTAAACTTCATTTTGCTCCCACAGACTAAATTTTGGTTTGAGACCAAAGTTTGCAAATAATAAAACTGAAAATCTAACAATAATTTTCCAGCTGTAAAATTCTAGTATGAAGTAATCTTAAACCTTTCTGAATTCACCAGAGACTTAACCTGTTAATACAGGGAAACCCATGAATAGTCATTCAATAACCAACACAAACTGCTTAAATCCCAAGGAAACACAAAGTAGTATTTTATGATCGTAGTGATATCTGCCCATAAGTGATCTATGCAGTCCCTTTAAAATACTTCTCTTTCCTCGTGGTTCTTGGACTATGCCACAGGAGTTCTGTGCTACCTTCCTGTGCCTAGCTGTAAAAACTATCTCCCTTTTAAGCCCTCTGGCTCTGCCCATATCTTGTTCCCTAACCTATCTGGCCTGAAAACTCCATGTGGATATTTCCTGATACAATATCTCCTGATACATGGAACAGCAAAGAAATAAAAGGAAAGCAAGGAAAGGAAACAAAAGGGCTTAATCACTATTACTGGGACTCAGTTTCTACCTTTTAATCTCTGAAGGGATGAAGAACTAAAATATAATGACTAATTCACTCATTATGATTCACAAGGAGCTTTCCATCTATTTCTTTGTTAAAAGTACACTCCACTGTTCTTTAGTAAGTTGAAAAGAAGTCCACAGCACCTTTCTTTTTTTTCTTTGTTTTTTTACTGCTACGACCTTTCTGCTGTTCTTCCATTATCCTTTCCTCTGCCATCTGTGAACCATCAGCACGACTCAATGTTGACATCAACCATGCATAAAGGAATTCAGAGAGGTACCTTGAAGGACACAAAAACGTCAGTTAACAGTACATGTCTAAATTAGATAGCTTTATAAACACATGTATTAGTAATAATAAATAGTTTTTATTAATTTATTTATTTTACCTTTAGGTGCTAGGGATAGAACCCAGGGCCTCATACATACTAAGCACATGCTTTACCTCTGACTAAATACCTTTAGTTCCAAATATATAATTTTATAATGCTTTAAGGTTTTATGGCAACTGATGACCATATTCAATAATAGATTAAGTTTATAAGAAATAAGCATTAAGCTGGGCCTGGTGGTGCACACCTGTAATCCCAGTGGCTTGGGAGGCTGAGGCAAGAGGATCACAAGTTCAAAGCCAGCAGCTTAGGGGGGCTCTAAGCAATTTGGAGAGATCCTGTCTTGGAGGGAGATATGTATATACACACACACACACACACACACACACACATATATACATTATATACACATACAAATATATATAAATAAAAAGAAAATAAAAAGGGCTAAGGATGTGGCTCAGCAGTTAAACACACCTGGGTTCAATCCCTGGTCCCCCCCCAAAAAAAGAAAAAGAAAGAAATGACCTTATTAAAATGACTTGACTTTCTCTTTTCACATTTTATATAACTTTTTTCTTTAAAATTAGTTCTAGCTATACATTATAGTAGAATGTACTTTGACACATCATACATAAAGAGTATAACTTTTTGATAAATATGTACATACATAAAACAAATGAATGCCCACTAAATTGTTTTTATTTATCAGGATACTTTTCATCTAGGTCTATTAAGAAAAAAAATTTTTTTTACCTCCTAATCATAAAAGCAAGCAAAGCAAGTAAAACAAAGAAATTCAGAAAATGACATAAAATTACTGGCATTACACAATACCATTCTAAAAACATAAAAACATTTAGGCTTGTAACTTAGTTTAGTCAATAAGTGCAAAATAGAATATTCTACCACATACTTAATTTTTCAGAATTTTAAACAAACTAAGCCTGAGAAGTAACCAACCTGGGATATGAATATATCTTTTGTAAGATACTCAATAATAAACGAACTACAGTAAGTGAAAATAAAAAAGATTTATAAGAAACTTCATGATCAAGTTTTGTGCCTATTTTCAATATTTTCTAGAAAAATGTAAGGCAGTTTACAATACTAAAACCCATATAAAACAAAATATTTTAAAGTAAAACAGAAACTAGTATAAAGACAAATGGAATGACAGTATTATATTGTGAAGCTAAACCAACTATTATGTTTTTTGAAGCTAAGGGAAAAAGGGAATGTAATTTTATCTGATAAACAAAAAGCACCTCATTTCATATGAAGGGAAAATAACTCCTGGCACTTGATTTAAGAAAAGCATTTATTGGGTGGGTGTGGTGGTACATGCCTGTAATTCCAGCTATGGCAGAAAGCTCACAATTTCGAAGCCAGCTGGACAACTTTGGGTGACTCTCAAAAAATAGAAAGATCTGGGATGTAGTTCAGTGATACAGTGCCCCAGGTTTAATCCCCAGTACCATAAAAAGAAAGAAAAGCATTTGTTATAGTATCCTTTAATGGATACAAATACAAATGAAATATTTTTCTCCTCTACAATATAAAATCTGAGGAGATTTTATATATATATATATGTATGTATCTCCTCTATCTTAAATCTGAAAAATTAATGGTGCCTTCTATCTCTAAATTATTTAATCGAAGGACAGATGAATCAAGGGAGAAACAGGGTTCAGGCCTTTCTTCTCAAACATCAGGTACTTCCAAGAGCTTTTTACAAAGTGCTTTATCAAAATTAACTTATAATTATCTAAACCAATGGTTTTCAAATTGCCACCTGTGGATCCGCAGCAGTGTCACCTCTGAATTAATTAGGAGAAAAAATTGGGTCCTATGCTACACTTACTAACCTAGGAACTCTAGGGATTGAGCTCAGTAAGTGACTATGGTGCATGTTAACAATGAAGAATCACTGTTTCTGCTGTTCATTTGAAAAGGGTCAACATGCTTTGGGGATCACATTCATGAATAACAACAGATTATTTTGAAAAATATAGGAGTCCAACCTAAATTTGAAGCCAAAAAGCAGGTCAGTACATGAAGGCCACAGGAGTACTTATAGGCAAAATTAACATTTCTTTTGTTAGTAAGGTATGAATCTGCTTATAATTTAACGGTATATTTACCATTCATTTGCTGAATTAAGATCCCAATTCTTTGAGAAAAAAAAAAGTCATACTTTCATCTGAGAAAATAAGAGCAAAAGCTTCCAAGTAGGTTCCTCAAGCACAAAGAAAAAGGAATTTGAGCCCATTCCTCTACAAAAATCAAGAGGAATATCTACTATGAGCTAATAACAAAATGTATTCCAAGTAGCATGGATTAGTGGTTTTATCTATATAAATGTTGAAAAATAAAACAAGTAAATTATTCTCTTATTATCACAGTCAATATTCAAATTCAAGTTTCATAGCCGAGAGTTCTGTTAAAATTCCTTGCTGCTAATGATAACAGTAGAAAAAAATTATTTTTCTTCTTCAGAGCAGTGACTCCAAAGAATATTTTTTAAATTAAATAAACTCAAATAGATTTTAAAAGGCGAAATGTAAAGTTTACCAAATTTAGGTGTTTGTGATGAGCAACACAGGTAATTGGTAATTTTAATTATCTCCATACTCTGCCAGACTAGGACTGGTTCAAGATACCTGAATTCATTAACACTCAATGTTCTTAAAATTATTTTCTATGACAGCTTTGTCATGCCTAAGATAATGCCAACACACATTGTCTTTGTAAGTCTCTTTATTATGTCCTCCAATGAAAGGGAAGAACTAATCTCCTGAAGATCATCCCTCATCAACTCCAGAGTTAAAACACTTTAATGTTTCAGAGCCAGAGCACGAAACAGTTATGTTCTTAGTGATCATCCTGGCTGTGATTTCTTCCCAGGAGAAATAAGACCTGGTTCCACTGTGAACTTTCACTCCATCAAGTACATCCACAGCCACTACTTAAGTGCTCTTAAGTCAGGGCAAAATGAGTTTTCTTCATAAAAATAAATAAAAGATCTTCAATTAATATATTTACTTTGGGGCCACTTTTATTGATTTTTACGTAAATATTCAAATGGATGGGAAAACATCTGTAAAATGTTACACCACTAAAGACATTCAAATTGATGCAGCTCTAATTTTCAACAGCCATTTTCCCAACTGTCCTACATCTAAACTGTATTAAATGAATGAGTACTCTGATATTACATTATTTTACAGATGCTCTCTCAGATCTTATATACTCCATCCACCAATTTTAACTCAAACTGTTCTCTTACCAGTATATGTAATAGTACTCATGCATGCTATAGAGTTCCAATTCAAAGCCACTTAGAAGATACTGTATCATAATTCGAAGGTTATGGTAAAGGACCCAGGTTCCTAAACAAGCCAAATGTTGCCTTTGGGGTTCTTGTTTCAACAGCATAGTGTGAAGTGCTGCATCAACCTTCTCTGCCTGTCAAAATATCATAACATTGAGTTTTTTTAATGTAATAAGAGAACTTAAAATCTCATTACCCAAAGATCCTACTTTGAAATGCATTTTTAGTTAGATTTATATGCAAAGTTCTCATTTCACAAGGGTAACATTTACTTAAATGCTTCTTTAATTAAGAGACACCCATTTTAAATAACAAAATACAAATAGTTGACTTAAGTTCTTTGCATATACTGTCAATAAATATCACTGCTCCCACAAAATAACTGAAAAATTAACAAATTTTTATTATGTCAATTTGCTATAAAATCATAGTTGTCTATAATATTTCAAAATTTATCCTCATTATCAAGGAAGTAAATTGTTTATTAGCTTGGATTATTGTTGTTTCTTCCTAGAACCTTCATATTGTGAAAAATTAAATATTTAAACTATTGTTCCAAAGCATTGTTTTTGAAAATCTAGGCAAAATGTGAGAATTAATTTTTGAAAAAAAAGGCAATTTGGCTCTTACCTCATCCTGCAAGGTAGCAAATTCCTCAAGAATATGACCAAGCTTATCTCTCTGCCGAGCTCTGTTATGTCCATGGATCTGAATAAGACTACAAAATGGCTGTAATACACATATAATTTGTTAACAACCAATGTGGCATCTCCTTACACGAGAATCTACATTCCACATTCTCAAAATCTGGCTTCAGGGGAAAAAATGCTGAGTATTTTAAGAATCATGCCTACACAGATGCTAGTTTTTAAAGAATGTAACACCAGAATTTATCAATAACTAGAAAAAGGATGAAATTATACTTTATAGTGTGTTCATGGATGAGCATGAAACAACAAATCCCATCATTATGTATGACTATAATGCAGCAATTTAAAAAATGTGGGAAGAAAAAACAAAAGAAAAAAGTGGCTGCTGGTGAAACCTGTTTTCAAATGACAAAAATATCTTCCTTCAATCTTGAGATATCTTCCTGAAATTTCAAGAGGATAATTTCATTTGTTTATTTTAATCCAAAATCTAGTGTTCAAAGCTGAAGTTTCTGTGCTACTTTAAATACAACAGAATACCTAACAATTATATGGTTTGAGTAATGGCCCATGTGTATAAACTGTAAGGTTTTTCTATTCCTAATCTCTTTATATAGTGCTCTCATAAAATAACATTTCACTAATCAGATGGTAGACATGTGTGTCAGAATGCTCTGATTTTAAAAATATGAGTAAGATCTCTGAAGAGTAAATTTTATATCTCCTCTGATCAACTACCCAAAGAAAGGTACAGAGAAGGTACAGGCTGAATATCTCTAATCTGAAAACTCAAAATCCAAAACTTTTTGAATGTTGACATGATGCTCAAAAAGTTTCAGATTTTGGAGCATTTTGGATTTTTAGATTAGAGATACTTATTAATTCATAAAGTCTATGAAATATTCTAAAATCTGAAAAAATTCAAAAATAGAAACAATTCAGGTCCCAGGCATTTCAAATTAAGAGATAGCAAACCTGAGTTAGCATCTTATTCTTCAAAGAGCAAGAAGTTTAAAAGCAATGTGCCTGATAAAATGTTAGTGATAAAAATGAAATCTGATCTTCTACTAATTTGTTCTTTTGCCACACCACATTGCATTGCTATACATATTTATTAAACAAAATTAGGCCCCAAAGAGCTACCTGTTTGAGTTCTCTAAGAGATATGCTTATAAAATTAAATTTAAAAATTTGTTTTGAATAATTTAATCTACTACAAGGTTTGCATTTTTCCTAATTATCCGAGGCTTGGAAAAAAAGAGTTTATGACCTTGCCTAGATTAATTTTAATAAAATCCTGTTCTCACTAAGGTAATATGCAGTATATAAGAATGTTGTAAATCTTATAAGGTCAAAAAAAGTAAATTTCTATGTTCATTTAAAACAAAAAAAAATTTTAGGAACAAATGCTATTTTCCCAGCTGGGAGCCTGTGGCCTCTCAGGCTGCAGTGAGAGGCCATCCTAGGCTTCCTCTGGATCTAACAACCAGACAGGAGGGTTACTGATTATAAAGTCAAGTGTTAATACTCAGGTGTTTAGAGGAGACAGCATTTTTTAAAATTTATTCACTGAATGTGAAGAAGAAATAGATAATAAAAATGCATAAATTAATAACATTAAAGGGCTTATGTCCCAAAATTTTTAGAGCATCCATCACAACCCAAATTATAGATCTTACCCGAACACAGTGAGTAACAAAGGAGTCAATACAGTCCTTAGCCTGGTGATTATTATATAGGCAGCATCTGTAAGAGAATATTCACATCATTAACATCAAATTATCTGGCTTACATAAAAGAAGCAGTGCGTGCTATTAACAGAGAGGGAGAGAAAAGTAGAAAACAGAACCAGAAAAATTACCAAGTTACAGAATGTTAGCATTAGATTAAGAAACATTTCACTATTGCTATGTTGTGCAGAGTAAGTGTATGGTATTTCCAATTTCTTTAGTTCTAAATTTGGACAATCTAAGTTCAATCTAATAAGATCAAACTAGCAAGGAGAAAGGGAAAAACCAAAGTCCCACTTTTCCATGAACTCACTTCAAAACCATATATTTTCCTACAACTGATATCCACATGGACTGCGCTCCTGATAATAGCTACAAAGAAAACAGAGTCTCCCAATTCTTTCAAAATGTATCCCATTTCCAACCACAGTATAAATTTCCACCAATTCATCAATTCATCCTCTGACACCTTATGTTCTGTCTTTACAAAGTAGTTTCCTTGTTTCAGTTAACAATTCTGATTAATACCTTCCTGGAGCAGTCTCCAAGGTACCTGTTTCTTGACCTTGAGGGAGCTGGAGGTTGAACAGATAGGAAGATTAAAAAAATAATAATATTCTTACAGAGATCAGTGTTGACAACTTGCTATTCATTTTTACAAGTAAGTACTCTGCGAAGAGCCTCAAAATTTAACAGCCATAATAATGCAACAGAAAATGACAGTATACTTAGCAGACTAGAGAGGGAAAAAAAAAAAGCATACTTAGAACAAGAAATTGATGGAATTAAAAAATACTGAAAGGTTCCTTATATCTTTAATATCAAAGAAAATTACTTAAGATGAAAATAGAGCACTTAAAACAATTTTCTGGATCTAAAAATAATGATTTTCAAGTTTAAATATTCAGTAGATCTAGAAGATCTAGAATACCAAGATTTCTAAAAAAAAAAAAAAAAAAAGAAAGAAAGAAAAAAGAAACAGATGAAGGCAATAATTAAGAATGTAATAACAGGGAAAAGGATCTGTTTGGGAGACTTTTATACCTTAATGACTGAATTCCAGTACAATTAACAGAAAATCATACATGAATATTCTGGCAAAACTCATGAATTCTTAAAGAGAAACTTAAGAAACAATGCTCCAGAAGGAAGTTTCAAAACACAGGAAAAAGAGAATCACATCAGCATTAGATTTTTTTTTTTTCCTTTTCTTAATAAGGTGCTAGGGATTAAATCTACCCTGGGCTTGTGCATGCTAGGTAAGCAATCTACACTGGAGCTACATTCTCAGCCCATAAGATTTCTTATCTGTTACCCCAGAATTTTATAAAGAGAAGAAAAAGAGCTATGGCTACCACACAATGAATTTTGCCATATAATCAATACTCATTATTCATGGTAGTTATGTTCTATAAAACTGCCAAGGACAATGAATTAGACTATAATCCCAGAGGAAACACTGGGTTAGGTACGTATGAGCCTCTGGTCACACATAAAGTAAACAATATATAACCTTGGTTTATGCATATTTCTGTTTAAAGACACATTGAATTTATGGCCCAATAGCACTATAATACAGCATGTCTAAGTGAAGCTTATTTATACATGTATTTTCTCCATAAGGCATTTCATCACCTTCTTATGCTAAGGAAGGCTAGACAGCATGCCACAATGGATGGGATCATTTTAAACAGTGAAAAAAACACAAAAGTCACAACCATATGGGAAATGTAGCAGTAAATAGAAGTGTTTATAGCATGTGATCTGAAACAAGAAAGTAGAGTTGTCTATTGGACTTCAGAATGTGCTGCTCTGTCTGTGTTCCCTGTCTGCACACATCTGTAAAGATGGTGAAAGCAGTGCAAATAAATTATGGGTTACAAATAAATTATAGTGAGTAGGTAAATTCGCAAATAGAATCTCAAACTATTTAGATCAACTACAATTTCATCTAAATGATAATTAATTAAAAGTGACAATATGTAATCAAAGAGCTAGACGGACTGTTAAAAAGAAAAGGTGAAATGCAAACTAAATGGATTAGATTTTTTTGGGGGGAAACAAGAGGGGATGGAGGAGGTCCTGGAGATTGAACCCTGAGCTTCTTTCCATGCTTAAACATGTGTTCTACCACTGAGGTATATTCCCAGTTAGATACTATTTCACATACATCAAAAATGGTCAAAATTAAAAGTTTCATAACGCCAAAGCATATATTATAAGAAAATGAGCACTCTACACACTGTTGCCCAGCACACAAATTGGTTGAATTACTTTGGAAAGTAATTTGGCCAAATAAAATTGCAGATGCACAGGCTTGATGATCCAGAATTCTACTTCTAAATATATATTCTATATGCACAAAGAGATATTCAAAGATGTTCACTATAGCACAATTTTAATAATGATAAATTAGAAACAAAAAAAAATCTCATTGTAGACCAATGGAAAATTAACTAAAATATATTCAAAGGGTGTATTTTAGTTAATTCAAATAGTTTTGCATGAATCAACTTGGACAGGTATAAAAATCCCAACATGGAAAGAAAAAAACAGGTAGAAGAAAAATATATACAATGTGATAGAATTTTAAAACAGATAAAACTAGAATATTGCTGTGGACACACACATGTGCTGAAAGTACACAAGCATTCACAGGAAAGATACACATAAACTGTCATATCATGGTAACCTCTAGACTGAAAAGCTAGGGAAAGGCAGAGATTTGAAATTTGAGTCAGCAGCTCCCAAAGTACAACTCCTATTTCCCCTGGTGGTGGGGTGGCCTTGAGACACTTGCAAAGGAGAACACAAGATCTAAGTACTATTAAGACCTTATTTGCTCTCTGCATTTATTCTCTCACAAGTATACAATGGAGTTTCCACAGGCTCATGGCATGTGATTCCATAGCAGATGGAAAGCAGAAGCAGGAAAGATAATGTAGCTATTTTCTAGTAAGAAACACGGAAGAGATTTGCAAAAATGTAAAAAACACTGCCACTTTTCTCATCAATTTTTCTTACAATAAAGTGCTTTCCATAAAAATATTATGTTAATATGTACTAGACTGAGTATTATTTTTAAAATGAATTAGAAAATTTAAAGTATCATTTTAATTTCTAAAATAGTACCTTGTTAGTAGGTACAACCAGTATAAACAAAAGCTATCTGGTTCCTTAATTATATTTCTTAAGAATATAAAGGGGTCCTAAAACAAAGTTTGAAAATTCTTTTTTCTTTTTTTTTAGTTGTCAATGGATCTTTATTTAATTAATTTATTTATATGTAGTGCTGAGAATCAAACTCAGTGCCTCACAAAACACTAGGCAAGCGCTCTATCACTGAGCTACAACACTTGCCAGCCCTTAACAATTTAATTTAGTTCTTTATACCCAATTCCAGCCCTATACTGGGACTTCTCAGAAAGCTCCACCCTCTGGGTTGCACATGGTTCACTCTCTCTATTCACTCATGTACAAATATCACTACCTCCCAAATCAAGGAGCCAGCTAAGGAAGGTTTTCTTTCTCTCTTCGTCCCTTCCCCACCCCACTTTTTGTTGTTGTTATTACTGTTTTTGTACTAGGGGCTGAACCACCCAGAGATACTGTGCGACATTATCTCCAGCCCTTCTTACTTTTTATTCTGAGACAAGGTCTCTAGTATTAAGTAGCCCAGGCTCCTTCTGAGCTTGGGATCCTTTTGCCTCAGTTTCCCCAGTCACTGGTATTACGATTGTGTACTAGATCTGGCCCAGCAAAGAAGGATTCTTGATGAGTGCCATCTTTCTGGCTTGCAGAGAACTATTAGCTGTCTTATCTCTGTGTCTTCATATGGGATGGGGAAGTGCTAGCCCACGCCCTCTAAACCCTTTCTCTTTTTATAAGGACAATAATCTCATTATAAATGTTTTACCCTCTTGACTTCATCTAAACCTAATTAACTCCCAAATGTCCTACTTCCAAGTACCACCACACTGAAGGTGATGGTGGTAACACATGAGTTTTCAGGAGTCATAAGCATTTAGTCCAAAACAGCAGCATAACCACCTACAAAAAAGAAATATGTAGAAGAACTTTCAAATTAAGAAGAAAAAAAAGAAACTTAATCAAAACTGGATCAAAACAAAAAAATATAAGAAAAAAGAAAATACACAGTAAATAAGCCTAGGAGAAACAAAGAAAATGAAATAATCTATTTCAATGAATAGGTCGAATTCTACTTTTAACAGATTGAAGTAGTAAAAATCTAAAACAAAACCCAGTTGAAAACCATGTAAAAGAAACCCATTAAAATGATGATAGAAGATGATTTAAAGAAAAAGGAAAGAACAATGAGATGCCAGACCTATTTTAAATAGAGAAGAGGGGCTGGGGCATGGTTCAATGTTAGAGAGGTTGCCTGGCAGGTGTGAGGCACTGGGTTCAATTCTTAGCATCACAAACAAATAATTAGAATAAAGGTCCACTGACAACTAAAAACATATTTTTTTTTTAAAAAGAGAAGACAAAGTAGTAATAGCAATATTAACATGAAATAAGGTGGTATTTATGGTTGAAAGCACTAAACATGGTACAGGGACAGTGTATAACAATAAAAGGCACAACTGACAAGGTCAGCATAATAATTTAAAATCACCCAGGGCTAGGGTGGTAGCTCAGTGGTAGAGAGCTTGCCTAGCAAACATGAGGCGCTGGGTTCAATCCTCAACACCACATAAAAATAAAACAAATTGTATCTACAGACAACTTATATATATGTATATAAAAATCATATGCACCAAATAGCAGTTACAATCATGAAGCAAAACATTTAAGAATACAAGGAGAATTCTATAAATTTGGTAATTTATTTTATTTGAAAGTGTATGTGTGTGTATATACCCTATGTTGTTTGGAATTAGGTAGATAAAAACTGCATAACAAACTCAATCGAACTTTGCATTCTAAGACAAAATTTTCTTTTCTTATATGTGTAATAGACATGAAAATCAGGCATGCACTCAATCATACAATAAATAAAATCAACTAGATTTTATAACTGGGTAAAATCAGAAAAAACAAAACATTATCCAAAAGTTTTTACCTGAAAATTAAATATACTTAAAAGTGACTCTTGGATTACAAAAAAGGAAAAACAAAAATGTTATAATATCTGTAGAAAGATATCAATACAAAGATTACTTCCTACTGAAATAAGCTCAATCATAAACAAAATAATCAATCTTGAATATCTCATTATTAAAAAAATAACAAGAAAGATGTAAAAAGTAACAATGACAACTATTATAAAAGCAAAAGATTATTTCCATTAACATGATGTTCAAGTTTGCTATGACCACTGTATATTTGATTTTGTTTTAGCATCTAGAAAACAAAGAAACAAAATGAAATAACTAATATACAGTATAAAATAAAGGATGAAATTATCTCTTAGGAAAGAAATTTCAATTATCACAACAGCAACAGCAGCCAATAACAAAAAAGAAAAGGAGGAAAAAATCCTAGGTACTACATAGGATTTATCAAGAAACACTCAGGATCCACATGAAGAAAACAAATAAAAATAATACTATGTCATTTGATCATAAGATTTAATAGCATAAAAATAAGAACTCTTAAAATTAATATTTAATTCCAATAAGAATTCTAGGCTTAAAAAGCCTGAGGAAAATTATCCTTAACATTTTTATGGAAGAATAAAAATACCAAAGAAGTACCAAAAGAGTCCTGAAAAAGAATTAGTGCAGGAGTATATAACAGATATTAAACCTTCAGAGAAAGGCATGATTTTTTTTTTTAAAGAATATATCACTGGAACTTAAATAAATCCCAATATGTAAGGTATTTTGAAGTAATATAAAGACATCATTATAACAAGAGTGGAAAAATGGTTTCTGCTTTACTCAAAGGGCTATCAAGCATGCAATAAAGTTGCACTTCTATTTTCATTTCTAGTACAGGAAAATATTTCAGAATAATAATAAAAACCAGAAAAATCTTTGGAAAAAGATTTAAGTGCTGAAAAGGATAACCTATGAGTTGAGGAAAATCATTTACCTCAACAACAAAAAAAGCAGACAAAAATGGCCATACAGAAAGTAGAAGTTTTGATGTGGTAAAATAGATTAAGGAAAAAAAAATCCATAATGCCTATCAGGGGATAATAAAGAGAATTAACTTCCTATAATATTCAAAGAACTCTTAGAAATATGCCAAAAAATAAATCACTTAACAAAGCTAATGGGCAAAGTTATAAGCAACTTATTAAAAAATTATAAGTACCAATAAATAGTATATCTGAGCTCAAATTACTCAACACACAGAAAAAAATTAAAAGTAATGAGTAATACCTTCTGCTGTTCATGATGCATATGGAAAGTAAACTTTTCATACTGTTGGTAGGCATAGAAATTGTTACAATCTTTTTAAAAAGAAATTCTGGAAATATCTGTTAAAGTTAAAACTACACAGGTTTCTTCACCCAGTAACCCTATTCCCTTAGACTATATTCATTTTATGAAATATCTGGGAGCCATTAAAAAAATTTGTTATATCTACATCAGGTAATTTGGGATGCAAGGCTACCATGTATCTCTCTTTTTCTCTCTCCATTTTTTTGTTTTTTGCATTATTGGGTATTAAGTCCAGGGGCGCTCTCCCACTGAACTATATCCTCAGCCCTGTTTAGTTTATATTTTGAGACAAGAGTCTTGCTAAATTGCCCAGGCTCGCTTCAAACTTGCAATTCTCCTGCCTCAGCTTCCCAAGTAGCTGGGTTTATAGATGAACATCACAATGCCCAGCTATCATTTATCTTTAAGTGAAATAAAGATAAAGTAGGGGAGTGTGGCAGGGTGAGGGAGAAGTGATGTGGAAGAATACTGGCTAAATTATACTGTTATATTGTATGCATGTACAAATACGTTAACATCAAATCACACCATACGTACAACTATAATGCAGCAATAAAAAAGGTGGAGAAAAAAAATTTTTAAAGTTAAGGTTTTTAGTTTTAAAAGATTTTAAAAAGCAATCCACAAAAACTTAAAAAATTCATGACAAAAACAGTCTAATGATAGTTCCTCACTGCCCACAAAATAAAAACCAAACCTTACCAGAACATTCAAGAGTCACTCCTATCTTATTCCAAATTCCCTTATCACCTACCTCCCATTCATTTGTTCAACAAGTATTTACTGTGTGCTTACTACATGCCAAACACCATTCTAGCATTTATGACACATCAGTCAAAACATCTGGCTATTTTAATAGAATAGCCAAAAATACCTGCCTTGCGTTTGTGGAGTTTATATTCTAACTGGGGGAATAGAGAGAAAGAAAGATAGAAAACAAACATAATAAAAAGTTAATTATAAAGCATAAAAAATTTTATGGAAAACAGAAATGGATTGGAGGTGGAGATTCCAATTTTTAAACAGCTCTCACTGAGGTGACACTCCAGGATTGAAGTTTGACATTCGGGTGTCAACCAAGGGGTTTTCTAAGACTCACTCATATCTTATTTCTAAGGAAAATGCCCCCTCCTACCCTCCACTCTCTGCAAAGACTTGAGAGTAAAAGAGTTCCCACATGTTCCAAGAATAGCAAGGAGGCCAGTAAGGGAGGGGAGGAGACAAAGTCAGAGAACGGGCAGGAAAGACCTAGACGTAAGAACACCAAATCTTGTAGGCCCAATCATAAGGATCATCGCTTTTATTTCAAATGAAACAGGAATGTAACCAACACTGTATATCCTTCCAGGGACAGTTCTTACCAATGGGAATAGGGGCTAAATTCTCAAGCTCCCTTATCCCTGAGAAGAACAACTCTGAGGTTTTCAACCACACTGTTTTTCAAAGGCCCTATAGTACTAAACCAAAGTTACTATCTATGGAGTGCACTTGATGATCCCACTTGCTCACAACCCTGCCAGTTTTTCCTGGGATTATTTCCTAAAATACATTCACATAAATCTTAGTCTCAGGGTCTGTTTCCAGGGAATCCAACCTAAGACAATAAGCTACCAGAGTTTCACATAATATGTGGCATAATTTATTCAAAAAATTGCTGGTAAGAAGGCTGAACTACTAATTGTTCTTAAAATATATTTCATACTCTCATGCCTCTGCAGATGCTGGGCTTTTGTTGTTATTGTTGTTGTTAAGAAATAAAAATCACTCAGTTCCTCTCTCCCCATCAGAAAAGTCCTCCTCATTTCTTAAAACGTGAACTTAAATGATGATTTTTTTTCCTACAAGCCATCCTTTTCCAGTTTCTTATGACAACATGTTTCCAGAACAATGACTACTAGATAATCATTTAAAGATCAATTATCTACTTTTAATTTTTATCTAGACTCAGATCAAAAAGAGATATCTTATTTTTATAATTACTTCCCAAAGTCTATAACAGTGCCTTGCACAAACAGTCCAAGACAAATTTAAACAGTATGTGGCAGAGATGAGTTAATTTTAACAAGATTTGAGTTATTTTTATATAGAGACTACATTCCAAACTATTTTTATATTTTATTTGTAAAGAAGGAGTGCAGAGAACTTTTGACTTTTTTTTAAAAAATGCATACATTATAAATTGTCTTATAACACTTACTTGGGGGAAAGCACCGGAGGACTGACAAAAGACCGAAGTGCATCTTTCACCATATCTTGCATGAGATGAGTTCCAAAGACCTTTTTATTATCCACCAGGAATGTGGTCTTAAAATAAATTTTATATGTATTAGTAATGCTGCCAAACAAATTGACATTACTGAGACATGAGAATATTACCTTTAAATACTACAAAATACAAGCAATTAAAATATAAAAATTGGTGGAAAACTTTTATAAATCACTGAATCCACAGTGAGTACTGTTTATTCTTATGTAAGATGTATTCTGAATTTTAAAAATATATGTAGAAATAAACATACCCCTATACAAGAATTAATCAATGAGTTGACAGTACTAAGGATATGTCAAATGAACCCATACATGAGGACTCCATAAGTTACAAAATATTTAATGGCTAAAAATATTAAGTTATTTGATCACTTTTTTGAGGCACTGGTGATCAAACCCAGGGTCACACATATGCTAAAAATGCTAATACACACAAACTTTGTAAAAATAAAAAAAACATATATTTATAAGTTTGTGTTTAATTTCCTTCCTTTAATAATCTCAATGTTTTAATGTTTAATATACCAGAACTTCTTTAATTTCCTAATACTCATTTTATTTTTAATTTACATAAATTAAAGTTCATACTTTGTACAGTTTTAGAATTCACAAATGCATAGTTGTTTAGTTTTACAATCAAGGTACTGAACAATTACATCATATCCCAAATATTCCCTCATGTGATCCCTTTGAAATCAAGACCTCATCCCATACCAAATCCCTAGTAACCACTGATCTATTCTCCAACTCCATTGTTTCATCATTTCTAAAATGTAAGATTAAATCAGGATGTCTTTGAAACTGGCTTCTTTGATGCCAATGAGGTTCATCTGCATTAGTGAGTATATCAATACTTTATTCCTTTGTATTTCTGAGAGTATTCCACTGTGTATATTTACCATAGTATCTTTATCCATTGCCCAGCTTAAGAACATTTGCGTTGTCTCTGTTATTGATGTTCAAAAACAAAATAGCTCTAAACAGCGGTTTTTGGGAGAATGTCAGATTTCATTTCTCTTAGGGAATCAACTAGGACTTTGCATGCTTAATTTTATAAGAATCTGATGAACTGTTTTCCAAGTAGCTAAACCACTTCACATTTCCATCATCAATGTACCCTTGCCAGCACTTGTTATGATCTTTTTTATATATTAAGATAATGTAAAAGGTGGGTAGTATTTCACTGTGATTTAATTTGTATTTCCCTAACACTAATCATGTTGAGTATCTTTTCACACTGAATTTCAAATTTTTCACTCATTTTTAGAATTAGGTTGTTCTTATGCTAAGCTTATTAAGAGTTCTTTTATGTGTTCTAGATACAATCCTTTGTCAGACATGATTTTCTACTACTCTGTATCATCACATTTTTCATTTTCATTTTTTAACAGTGTCTTGTATAGAATAAAAGTTAATTCTTCATCAATTATGCTTCTGATGTCATATCTCAGAACTGTTGTTCTCCCCACACAAAGATTTTCTCCTATCCTTCCTCTATATCTACCTATCATTCAGAGTACTAGGTATTGAACCCTGGGGTTCTACACCACAAAGCTATATCTCCATCCTCTTTTACTTTTTTTTTAAATTTTGAGACAAGATCTTGATAAATTGCTTAGGGCTTCAATACACAGCTAAGACTGTCCTTGCCATTCTCTTGCCTCGGCCTCCTAGGTTGCTCACCACCCCTTGCAACACTGTGAGACAGGTTCTTGCTAAGTTGCTGAGGCCTGCCTCAAACTGAATCTCCTCCAGCCTTAGCCTCCAAGATGCTGGGATTACAGGTATGCTGGGTTGATGCATGTGTGAGATTACAAGATGCTACGATGCTTGATTCTATCCTTTCTTTTAAAAATTTCATATCTTTGGATTTTATATTTAGGTTTTTCATGTATTTTATGTTATTTTTTTATGACTGTCCAAAGTGTTCTTTTTCCATTTTTGTTGAAAAGGCCATAACTTCTCCACTGAATTACCATTGTACCTTTGTCAAAAATTAATTAATCATATTACTGATCAATTACTTGACCACAGTAGTAAATCAATAAAGGATTATGTACTATGAAACTGAAATATAATAAAGGAGCAATTTTTTAAAAAGAGGACTTTTTAAAAAGAGGACTTTCCTCTAGCTTCCACACAAAATAGTTATTTCTATCATTTTGTCAATATTACATTTCTAGTCACACAGAGTAAGTTCTCCCATTTTCTTTTATTTTTTTCCTTTTGAATTTTTCTTTTTGTTGTTCTAGTTCTTTGCCTTTCCATATAAATTTTAGAATCAGATTCTTGAAAGCTACAAACATTTGTGCTGTAATTTTGACTGAGACTGCTCCGAGTTTATAGATCAATTTGGGGATCACACTAAAATATCAGTCTTGCGCTGGGGATGTAGGTTGATGCATGTGTGAGGCCCTGGGTTCGATCCCCAGTACCTTACACACACATACACACAGTTGTTATACTCCATAAACACATTTATTTCTCCATTTTTTTTTTTTAAGTTCTTGGATTTCTTTTAACAGTATGCTACAATTTCTCAGCATGCAGGAATAGGATATATATATATATATATTTTGACCTCATAGAATATGATTTCATTAAACTCAGCATCAGTTCTAGAAAATTCTTTATAGATTCTTTGGCATTATACAAAGAAAAATCCTGTTGTGTAGATAGACACTATGATTTCTTCCTTTCTAATCTGTGTGCCTTTTTTTCCCCCTTGTCTTATTACATTGGCTCAAGAGGAAAACAATAGTCTTATACATTAAGTATAATATTAGATGTAGGGTTTTTTGTATATGCTCTTTATCAAGTTCTCTTCTATTCCTAGTTTTGCTCAGTTTTTAATAATAAATTATGCTGAATCCTGTCAAATGCTTTTAGGACTAGATTGTATGGTGAATTACACTGACTTTCAAACACTGAATCAGCCTTGCATTTCTGGTATAAAACTCCATTTGGTCATGACCTAATTATCTCTTTTTATGTACTTCTGGATGAATTTGCTAATATTTTGTTGAAGATTTTTTTGTCTGTGTTCACACACACAAAAAAATGGCCTATAGCTTTTTTGTTTGAAATGTTTGGTTTTAGTGCTAAGTTAATGCTGGCCTCATGTATTGATTGTTCTTGTCTCTTCTATTTTCTGTAAGGGACTATATAAAATTGGCCTGGGTTTTCACTGGTGGATATTTTTTTAAATCTGTGAATTCAATCTGTTGAATAGATAAAGGATTATTCAAATTATCTATATCTTCTTAAATGAGTTTTGGTAGTGTCTCTGAAGAGAGACATTTTATCTAAGTTTTGGAATTATGGACTAAGAGTTATGTATAATATTCCATATTATTCTTTTAATGTGCAAAGTGTCTACAGTCATATCACCTCTCATTCCTGATGTTAATCATTTTGTGTCTTTTCTCTTTTCCTTATTATTCTATCTAGTTAAAGGTTCATCAACCTTATTGATATTTTTTCAAAGAATCTGCTTTTGATTGCATTGGTTTTCTCAACTGTTTTTGTATTTCAGATTTTACTGATTCTTGTTCTTACCTTTATTACTTTCTTCCTTCCACTTGCTGTAATTTGTTCCTTTTCTAGTTTCTTAAAGTGAAAACTTAAAATTACTAACACCAGATCTCTTTTTTCTTAACATTTAATGCTATACATTTCCAATGAAAATTGCTTAACTTGTATCCTACAGATTTTGAGGCTATATTTTTATTTTCATTTAGTTCAAAATATTTTATTTTCTCTTACAAATTTGTCTTTGACCTATGAGTTATTTACAAGTGTGTTGCTTAATTTCTAAATATTTGGAGATCTTTCTAGATATTTCCTCTTACTCATTACTACTTTAGTACTTCTAAAATGGTCAGAAAGTTGTTTTTGTATGATTTCCACATATTAAAATTTTAAAATTATTTAAGGCTTGTTTTATGCCCAGCATATGATTTTTGATTAGTATCTAATACTCAATAATATAATAAAGTCAATAATTCTATTAAAAAAATATAATGCTAACTGTGGAATATCCTTTTAAAGCATCTTCCTTTGGTTTATCAGTCAATAAAACAATCAATACATATAATTTAATGTTTAAAATAGTTATTTTGAAACTAAATGAAACTTACTTGTAACAAAGATCTTGAAAGAACACAAGGTGATTGTTCACTAAATTCACAGAAAAAGTCCTAGTAGATAGAGAAAAAGCAAAGTTATTAACAGATTAAATAAAAGAAGAAAATGAGGTCCATAAAGCACAATTTTTGAAAATGACCAACTACTACAGTTAAAACATGGGAAGGAGCCAAAGGCCATTTCTATACAAATTGCCTAATTATATCAAAGGGACAATGGATAATTTTAGAGACTAAAATCTTTTTTAGAGAATTGACTAATAGAATCATGTGGACACCAACATTAAATTTCAACACCATGAAAATAATATAAATAACTTAGTAAGTAGTGGTAGAACTTTAGTTCCTGCTTCAACTGGATTCTTATTACTCTTTCTGACTTGGAGGAATGATCAAAAGACATAGGTTTATATACAGAGAAAAAAATATGAGAAAATACACCGTAATATTAACAACTATAGATTATGGGATGGGGATGGTAATTATTTTCATATTGCTCTGCATCTTCCAGATTTTATAGTTAAAATGTACATATCTTAAGTCTTGATTTGGGAATTGTTAGATATAGGTATTTGGACTTAGGAAAACTTATGGCACTACTGTAGGTTAACAGTGAAATAAAAGAATGGACTTTTCTGAGTTTCCTCCTCTTTGGTCACATAATAGTCTGACCTGTAGGCTGAAAGTTTAATTCTAAACAACCCTCTTTTCTCAATTTATAATATTTTGTTCCTCAGAATCTTATCATTGCTGATTCTGTGATTACTACATATATTGTAAAAACTCAAAAACTATATCTCTAACACATAACTTTAATCTCTATCCTCACTGTCAACATCAATGATCTCTATTAAAATATTCAAAAGCACCTTAAATTCTATTTAACTAGGACTCTTTCTTCTTGTCCTAAAAAGTTCCCAATTTGAATGAATGGCAAAAGAATACACCTAAACTTATTAAGAAGCCTAAAGATCTTCCTGAGAGCTTTCTCGTGTCCCATATTTTAATTTTTCACCAATATTCTACCAATTTCAGCTGACACATGGATCCCTTAACCTCACACTATCTGCCTACCATCCTTACATTAGCACTACCATCTTTAAATTAGCAGTTTCTTAGACTATAGTAATTTATCTTCCCATGTTTACACTAGTTGCCTTTTAATCTCGTCTTTATGATACAGCCACTGCATCACTGCAAATTAATTCAATTATACTACTACTATCCAACTTATAATGATCCTATATAAATTTCTAATAGATTTGCTCCATGATAAAAACCAAAATCTTGAAGGTGGCTTAAATAGCCATGCTTGGCCTGCTTACTTCTCCAACCTCACCAAATCCCCAACTCCTCCATCAATTATACTCCAGGCTACCAGCTTTCTTTGAGTTTTCTGATTGTACCATCCTGAGGGAAGAAACATTCAGCTTCCTTCACCAGGAACTGTCCTTCACCCTCACCATTCTAACATATATATAACTTCCAAATATTAATTTTACCTTTACTTCCTTGATCATCTAGATCAGTTCCTTCAATACATATGTTCATTTCTTTCAGACCTCTATCTGGTTTGTAATTCTATAATTACAAACAAAATCATACAAAACGTACACAAATCTGTATGATTATCTGACTGAATTCTCTTACTCTAGGCTGTAAGCCTTATGACAACTTAGATGATATGTTTTTGCTCCTCAAGGTATACAAGCTCTAGCACAAAGAAAATATCCAAAGATATCTAGTGAACTAATGAATGTCTTATGCTTATTTTCATAGTTTTATCAGTATGCCATTTATGCATTTCTCTTCGTTCTCTTTCATTCCTGTGCTAGGGAGTGAACCTGGGCCTCACACATGCTTAGTGCATGCTACCACTGGGCTATGCCTCTGGCCTCCATTTCTAAATTTCTTACAGCTAGCACATATCCCAAATAGAACACAATCCATAAAGTCTATTACTTACTACATTTAAATAAGGCACTCTTCCTAATTATTCCATAGCTTCCAAAAGTTTCATATTCTGGGTTCCTAATATTTGGGTTTCTCTTCACTAATTTCTCTACCCTCCTTCCTGCCATTGTGTTTTTCTATATTTATGCAAAATATCAAAAATACTGAAAATACAGAAAATGCAAAGAATAAACTATCTTCCAATATTCAAAATAGTCAGTGTTAACATTTTGGTATTTGATATTATCTTTTTTTGGTACTGGGGATTGAATCCAGGGGCACTTAACCACTAAGCCACATCCTCAGCCCTTTTTTATAGTTTCTATTGGAACAGGGTCTCACTAACTTGCTTAGGACCTCGCTAAGTTGCTGAGGCTGGGTCTGAACTCACAATCCTCTTGCCTTGGCCTCCCGAGCCACTTGGATTACAGGTGCATGTTAATGCACAGGGTAAACTGAATTTGTCTCCATCTCTGAAAATATTCTTTTTGTCTGAGAGAACCTATAAGTGGATATATATCCTTAAACAGAACGTTCATAAATATAAACATTTTTCCAAGTCAATATTTAAAAAAAAATTTGAAGGGCTGTATGGCATATATTCTACACATACCATAGAATGGATTAGATCATAATTGGGCATTGGGTTTCTGGTTTTTCAAATTACAATAATTTAACAAATACATTTTTAATGCATCTTTGCACCTATCTCAAATCATTTTATACTGAATTTCTAGATAGAAAGTTGCTGGGTCAGAGAATCCACAGTTTAAGATCTTGGAGATATAGGAGTATAGGAAAATAACTATTTCCCTTTCTCAACATTAAATATTATAATTTATTTTATGTGTATGGCATTGGGAATTGAACTCAGGGGTGCTCTACCACTAAGCTACATACCCAGACATATTTTATTTTGAGACATGGTCTAAGTTGCCCAGGTAGCCCTTGAAATCCTTTTGCCTCAGTCTACTGAGCATCTGGAATTATAGGTGTGTACCATCACATCCAGTCACTTTCCAATCTAGTTTATCTTATTTATACATAAGCACTCTTTATAATTTGGCATTTTATTCTAATAGTAATAGCAATAGGTTTCTGAGACAGATCTAGACTACGTGGTCCCTTTATCCTCTCTTTAACTTTTCCTGTCCTCTTGGTCTCTGCCACACTTTCCCTCCTACTACCTATATTTCTCTGTCTCAAATCTTCCTGGGATACATGGTCTCCCTTACTACACTCTCTTCAACATCCAGTACTAGCAGTCCGGTTCTGACTCTCTAGCTTCCATCTATTATGGTATGACTTTATGCTACCATCCCCCTGACAAAGCGATCCATAATTTTTCTGCTAGATATCTAGGACCAACAAGAGCCTGTCTGGGTTGAAGAAAATATTAAGAGCTACTCTGATGTGCCTCTGGTGTTAAAGAGTCAGAGTAAAAAGGAGAATGGAAGGTATAATAATGGGTAGAATCTGAATCACTAATCACTAAATTTTAGTGTATATGAGTAACGGTAAGAACTATGGGAAAACCACTAATACTATAACTATTATGGATATTAGAGATGCAAGTATAAAGAAAATGAAATATTTGGTTTATCTATAATTGTATCTATTGTAGTTTATGTAGACTGCTTGCTATGTCCACTAAATTTCATGTACTACAAAGATAAAATATAAATGTGTAAAAATAATTATTGTAGGTTTTATTTGATCTTTCTATAATTACCAGCCAAGTATCTGGCTCAAGGTTCTCATTATCATTCACCTGAATTACTGTTATTAGCCTACAAAGACAAAGGGGAACTTTTGACTTGTATCATTTCAATGTTGAAGAACATACAATTGAAAGACAACATCATCTGGGTTTTGTAATTTTTGCTTCACCTTACCCATACATATTCAAATTCTCAACTCATAACTCAACATGAAGCCATTCAGAATGCCTTTCTTTCTGATCTGACAACCTGTGACTATGTTGCTCATACTCCCAGAAAAGTCCTTTCTTCTACTTTTTCATTATCCAATCCTATTCATTTTTCAAGACTTAGATAAAATTCCAAATCTTAAATTATATTTCCATAGTCCAACTTACACTGATTTTTTCCCCCTTTAAAAATTCTACTGTACATATTCAGATGACATAGGTGTATGTGTCCTAGGTTCATCTCCCTAAGTGAAGGGGGAAAGGTGGAAAAACAGAACCTGGGGCTGGGGTTGTAGCTCAGTGCTTGCCTAACACACGTGAGTTACTGAGATGGATCATCAGCACCTCATAAAAATAAATAAAATAAAGGTATTGTGTCCATCTACAACTAAAAAATATTTAAACTCCCAAATGTCACTTCAGACTTCCTTTGTAAACCTTAGAGAAACTCCAATTATTATGCTCTTTTCATATTAATCTAGTTTTAAATTATTTCTGATCCACTAACTATAAATGAAATTCCAAATCTAGACATTTTCATTACCTATGAAAACTTGTATATACACCTATGAAAACTTGTATATACAATAATAATCACTATCAAGGATAGTGAATTACCTACCCTCTAAACTTTAGCTTCTGAATCTCTACAATGGACAATATAAAATCCTCATGAAGATTAAATATTATGTATGTATATGTATTCCCTCCCCACAACTTAATTATCTTATCAGGGAAAACAGGTAAGCACTATTATTTACCCTTGGACAATCAGACTCTAAAAAGTGATGTTATTAAACCAAAGTTATATTGCAGAATAGAGATTTGTACTTACCAGAATACAATGTAAATTTGTTAAATTCACAACCTCACAGACAGTTTTTATTCTATCTATTAATCTTGCAAAATAGTTGACCATTTCTTCCCTTTTAATTATTTTTGCATATCGAGGGAAGGTGGGTGGAAGTAGCCTCTGGTTAACAAGGGGCTCAAAACCCATCATAATCGGATGATCTAAAAAGAAGAAAAGAAAAAGAGTTTCAATGTTTCTCTGAATTTTAAACTGCAAATGCATAAATATGAAAAGGAAAATGCCTATTCTAAAGGCACCTCCAAATTCTAACCACAAAATCTTATAAATGGATTTTACAATTTATAATTAATTTAAACACAGTTCCCCGCCCCCCCTTAAGTGAGATAAACAGACTTAATAACTTCAAAATTGTCCTTTCTACCTACATGGTAGTGGCTGTGGTGATGCAAGGGATTTCCATCAAAATGAACTCCAAGCCAAGAATGGGACTGTGAAGAAAGGTAAAATGGGAGTACAAAAACTTGTAGGCTTTACTTCCCTCAACTACTAAGCAACAGGATCAATTGAAATTTAGCTATGCAATAATCCAGAACAGAAGAGCAGCTATCTCAAGCCTCAAGAATCCTTTAATGCATTTCGTTCAGAGGTATAATCACATAAGTCCAGGATGTTTTAAGAAAATATTATAAGAGACCTAAGGGCGAGTTGTTCTCTCCCATTCTCTGTTCACTGATGATTTTGCTTCTCACACACAGTTCCAAATCATGTTTTTCTCAACATGAAATCTAAAATGAGGATGTAAGTCTCAGAAGTAATAAAGGATTATGAATTTTGGAATCAAAGTTCTCCTGCTGGCTATAACCTAAGAATAAATACAATTTTAGATGTCAATGAAAAAAAACTAAAGCTGAGCAAGTACATTATTAATAATTCAAAACAAATTATCGAACCTTTAGAAGATAGAAAGAAAGTATTTTCTCCTCTGTAGTTATACGAATTTGATTTTAGAACAATGAAAGGGAATCAGCCCAAAACAGTGGTATATACCTATAACTCCAGCTACTCAGGAGGCTGAGGCGGGAGGATCACAAGTTCTTGGTCATGTTGGGCAATTCAGCACAATCTTGTTTCTGAATAAAATGTGAATAGTGGGGAGTAGCTCTGGGATAGAGTGCCCTCGGTTCAATTCCTAGTAGCAGAAAAAAATGTTTGTTGTAAACAAGGATGTTGGATTTGTTGGTTCGGGACCTGACAGCTCTGTGGCTCTTGGACAAGCCTAGCAAGGTTCGATAATTTGTCTATGAATAAACTGACAGATTAACAGGAGGGGAACATCTTTGTTATGTGCTTAGGCACAGAAGCCTCACAAAATTATGAGGTTCAAGGAGAGCCAGATGGCTGAAGTTTATATAACATCCTGAGCAACAGAAAGGAACAGGAGAATGGGGTTTCTGGGAGGATGGTGGGGGACACAACATAGGGGACATCTATGGTAAATAAAGGCAGTCTTAGTATACAGATAAATACATCTTTCTCAGGTAGTAAAGGTGGCCTACCAACCCTCAAAAGTATAGGTGCCTGTGCCAGGCACAGTGGCACATGTCTGTCATTTCAGTGTCTCGAGAGACTGAGGCAGGAAGATTGCAACCTCGAGGCCAGCCTCAGCAAATTAAAAAGGAATGGCGATGTAGCTCAGTGATAAAGCACCCCTGGGTTCAATCCCTGGTACCCCCTCCCCCAAAAAAAGAATTCAAAACAAAGTGACAACCAAATTATCGTAATACCCCTAAGGCACATATCATTAACTGTTTCTCAGGATCATACAAAGATGTTCCCCCAGGGTTCTTGGCGTTCTTCCTATTGTGCATTTTAAGTTGTTCCTGGTTTAAGTTACTTAGCTTTACATAAATTTCAACTTAACTGATGTTTCTCGGACTAAAATCCTAGGCCTACAATTTTCTTCTTAGGTCCAAATCTATGATTTCTAACTGCAAAAGAGAATTTCCACTTTGGTATCCCACATCATCTCAAAAGGCACAATCAAAAAACTACCTTTATCTTGCCCCTAACACTGCCTCTCTCCCTATATCTCCTTTCTCAGTATAAAAACCCTTGATTCTTATAATCCTTAAGCTAGCAACCATGTCTCTTTTCACTACCTTATCTACTTTATCAGTCAATAACTTAAGGATTCTAAATCCTAATGTCTACCGAATCTATCCACCCTTCTCACTCCTAGTGCCACTACAATAGTCTACCTGAACTGACTGCTCCTATACTAAATTAATCCTATATACTACAACCCTAATTGTTCTATCTCCTAACTTCATTCTCCTAACACAAAACTTTTATTGACTCACTATTCTCCATAATATATATTCTTTGGTAGGGCACTGGAAAGTGCTCTAAAATTTCCTGGTACTTTTATAGAAAAAGATTTTCCATTCTAATAGAAAACTGTGTATTGTCCGATTGACTATAAGAATCAATCAACTATAGATAGCTGAGGGGGGATAGCTTTTTTGCCATTTGAAATTTATTTCAACACTTCATTACTCCATATAAAATTGTGCTATTTAAAAATTTTTCATCTGAACCAATTAGGGTATCTCACTGAATGAATTTAACAAAATTCTTATCATATGCTCATTTTTACATCTGTACGAGCAGTTCTGATTTGACCTTATCTGAAAATCACCTTTAACACTCCCTATTCCCTAAGCACAGTAAGCTTAAGTAAGCACAAATATGTTCTGAATCTTTTCCACATACTATTTTCTCACTATATAAAATGTATTCTTATTCTTAGCCTGGAAGATTTGACACAGCAGGAATAACTTCTCCTCTTATAATACTTTGTTTACATACTACAACACTGTGGGGTTACGCCTCAGCTATATCCCAAAAGACCTCTCTCAGCAGTCCTCAAAGCAGAAATACTGGCTGTGTCTCAAATACCTGGCTCATTAACAGGCACTGAATATGTGTTTGATAAAGGACAAGATATGCAGAATGGTAGGGTGGGGTTGCAGCTAAGTGGTAGAGCACTTGCCTAGCATGTGTGAGGCACTGGGCTTAATCCTCAGCACTACATATAAATAAATACATAAATAAAATAAAGGTATGTGTCCATCTACAATGAAAAATATTTTTGAAAAAGATATGCAGAATGCTCAAAATAAAATTAAAGATTGTACCCATCATAATGAAATAGTCTGCATTCCTGATTTATAAAGCAGTGTTATAACACTTTAGAACTAAAGTAAATGACTATATAGTAAGAAGCTTCTTTACATACCACTATGAATACATTTTGAGCTTTAATGATAAATGCACAAAATCAAGATACTTAAATAGTACATCCCACTTATTTTTCCTCAAAGCATTCTAACACATATCTAAAATTATTTCCAAGAATATTCTTTTTTTCTCCCCCTTTTGCTGGGGATGGAATACAGGTCTCCACATATATAGAAAGCAGTCTACCACTAAGCTACATCCCTACCCCTCTTGTGTTCTTTCTTTTGTTGTACCAGGGATTTTATCACTGAGTACATCCCCAGTCCTTTTTACTTTGAGACACGATCTTGTTAAGTTGCTTAGGGCCTTACTGAGTTGCTAAGGCTGGCTTTGAACTTGCAATTCTCCTGCCTCAGCATACCAGGCCACTGGGATTACAGGCATGTGCCACCATGCCCTGCCCTTTTATTCTTAATACACATCTTTTCTCAAAGAATCATACGATCATCTCAATAGACACAGAAAAAGCATTTGACAAAATACAGTACTCTTTCATGTTTAAAACACTAGAAAAATTAGGGATAATAGGAACATATCTCAACATCATAAAGGCTATCTATGCTAAGCCCCAGGCTAACATCATTTTAAATGGAGAAAAATTGAAAGCATTCCCTCTAAAAACTGGAACAAGACAGGGATGCCCTCTTTCACCACTTCTATTTAACATAGTTCTTGAAGAAGCACTGGCCAGAGCAAAAAGAAATTAAAGGGATACATATAGAAAAAAAAGAACTTAAATGAGTACTATTTGCTGATGATATGATTCTGTACCTAGAAAACCCAAAAAGCTCCACCAGAAATCTTCTAGAGCTAGTAGATGAATTCAGCAAAGTAGCAGGTTATAAAATCAACACTCATAAATCAAAGGCATTTCTGTATATCAGTGACAAATCCTCTGAGACGGAAATGAGAAAAACTACCCCATTTATAATAGCCTAAATAAATAAATAAATGCTGAGGGCCATTACCAAGTAGGAATGACGCATCAAAATTTCCTTGCCAAGTGTACCCCATGCTGCTTAGAGGACATTCGATGGGACATTGCATGCATGCTTTAATAAGGTGACCTTGCTCGAGGACCAAGGCGGATCCGGGTTTAGAGCTGATCAGGTTTGAGGAAGTAACTGGCTCCTTGAGTTTAAGGCGTTGCTAGTTTAAGATAATGGGTTTTAGGGAAGTTAGAGATTGAAGATTATTGCTGGGATTAGGGTGTTCCTGCTGCTTGTTCCCGTTGAGTTCTCGTGAGATTAAAATGGGATTTGGAGATAGCCTCGTGGAGTAGGTGAATTGGCGGGCAGACGGAGAACGGAGAACGGGATTGCCCCTGGACCTGTGTGGAGGCGGTGTGAGAGCGGGAATAAAGAATTGCTGTTTGAACCTGCAAAGGTGTGTGGTGGCTCGTGATTCTGGTGCCAAGCCGAGACCTTGGCAAATAAATAAATACTTGGGAATCAACTTAACGAAAGAGGTGAAAGATCTATACAATGAAAATAAAAGAGCCCTAAAGCAAGAAGTCAAAGACCTTAGAAAATGAAAAGATCTACCTTGCTCTTGGATGGGCAAAATTAATATTATCAAAATGACCACACTACCAAAAGCACTATACAGAGTTAATGCAATTCCGATCAATGGCATTTCTCATAGAAATAGAAAAAGCAAACATGAAATTCATCTGGAAAAATAAGAGACCCACAATAGCTAAAGTAATCCTTAGCAGGAAGAGTGAAGTAGGTGGCATTGCTATACCAGATCTTAAACTATACTACAGAGCAATAGTAACAAAAACAGCATGGTATTGGCACCAAAACAGACTGGTAGACCAATGGTACAGAATAGAGGACACAGAGACTAACCTACAAAATTACAATTATCTTATATTAGACAAAGGCATCAAAAATAT